GTGTGTGTGTGTGTGTGTGTGTGTGTGTGTGTGTGTGTATGTGTGTGTGTGTGTGTGAATATCTAGGCCCTTCACAAGTACAAATGTGTCTTCATGTGTCGTCTACCTCATCAGCATCTCGGAACAGATGTTGATGTCCACCCCGACGAAGCTCACACACTCCTGCACCACGCCGTCCAGAGCCGCCTTCAGAGCTCCGGCTGACACATCATGCTAGAAACACACATTAAACAAACACATAAAAAACACACACAGACACAGACACACAGAGACAGAGAGAGAGAGAGAGAGAGAGAGAGAGAGAGAGAGAGAGAGATCACTTACCGCAGATACAAGACATATGAGCGTGCTCTTTAGCAAATCTTGATGTTAATTTAACTTGATTTGTAATAATGTTGGAATCCCAGAAAAAAATAGAATGAGTGTTCTGTTTTATTTGGAAGCCAATGCTATTGCCTTTTGCTGTTTCACTGTCTCCAGCTGTTTTATTTCCATCTATAAATCTCAGTGTGATTATAACATAATGTTTAATGGACTTACAAAATCATGTTCTCTTTAAATAATCCCCATTCTGTAAATGTATTCCATATTACATTAAATGTTTTACCATTTGGTTCTGTGAGGGCACAGCTTCCCCAGGGGGATTATTAAAATGTCATCCTTAAAGAGAAAAACAGCGGGGAAAAGTGTTAGCGATAAAATACTGACAAACTGAGAGAGAAAGAGGTTTGATTGACAAGTAGTACAGCAAGTGAGACACAGCGAGACGAGAGAGAGTGCAGAGGGGGGAAGAGAGGGAATGTTTAGTTTGGCCTGTCAGAAATTCCCCCTCCTGCTAACACAGTGTTCTCGTTACTGTCGGTAAAGATCCTCCAAATGAACTCTTCACACTTCTCATCCAATCAACCTTTAATCAGGACGTGTTTTCCAAAAGGGCTGGAATCTTTTTCCTAATAAAAGGAGCAGGGCCAACAATTCAAACTAAGAAAGCAAAAGGATAGTGGAGTGAAGTGGAACAAATAAACTTAATAAGAAGCACAAAATAAGATTGAAGAACCTCTATGAGGCCTAGAAGTCGTCCCAGGACAAACAGAAGCCCTGCGCTGAGAGACAAGGCCAGAGAGCGATCAGCCGGAGACTGATGCCTCAGCAACTGCTGGAGGATTAGCTGACACTCTAAACTGGACTACTGTGTGTGTGTGTGTGTGTGTGTGTGTGTGTGTGTGTGTGTGTGTGTGTGTGTGTGTGTGTGTGTGTGTGTGTGTGTGTGTGTGCACTGTGCATGTTAGCATGGGTTGTCCTGTAACACGATCAAGCTCCATCTTGTAAACAGATAACAACAACGCCAACCAGCAAACACACACTCGTCTGTCAGCGAGAACAGGACAGCCGGACGGAAGAGGAGAGCGACACAGAACAAAAATATATATAATTATATGTTGGGGTGAAAGACCACATGGGAATCCATAATTTGGTTTATCTATTCATAAGAAAGTCACTACTTTAAACAAGTTACACCGAAACTATAAATACAATTCTTTATTATGAGCTTCATACTGTATCATTTCAAAAGTGGAATGTTTGTATTATTATGTGAAAGACTTTAGGATATTAGTTTGGCTGTGTGTTTGTCAAGACATACAGTAAACATAGTTAAGAAAAGATCAATTCAAATGACTTAACTGACTCAAGTAATCTCACGAGTATGCAAACTCCCAAACTATTCGTGCCTTTAATAATGATATCTTTTGTTTTGGGTGACGGGATTGCATCAACGGAGTGCAATAGACAAGCTCAAAGTTACGCCCTTTCCAAAAGGAAGAACCCAGAGGATTAGCTGTCAATACGTGACTGTGTGGTTCAAGATTAAACATTTGACACTTTAATTGGTCTTGTTGGCAGGAACTTACTTTGAAGGTTTAATAAATTACTGTACTCCTACTACAAAACATTGGTCTAGTCTACAATAAGCAGGGTGGTCAACATGTGAGCAGAAGGGTTAAGACATAAAGTCATCGAGAGAAGAGTACTGGAGAGAGCACAGCACCCCTGGTGACTCCTCGTGTGAACTGCAGTCTGATTTTTGTGAAAATGCTAATTAAATACAGCCAGAGGCATTTATGAGAAAAATAAAAATAGCTTTCTGAACAATAAGAGTTCCCCAGTTAAAGTTTTATGATTTCCGGAGAGATGACACAGAAAGAAGAGGGAGACAGAGATAGTCAGAGGAGGAGGAAACCACCTGTAACGTGACACCTGAGAAGAACGTTTTCACACGAGAAAAGTAGAGGTGTGGAAGGCAGTGTGAGTTTTAACCTGCAATAAAACCCAGGTGAATGTGATCTCATATTCTCATTGAAACCTTATAGAGGTGGGAGCCGCACAAGAGAATCTAAAGTATTGTGACTGCTAACAGTGAGCATCACATAGCTGTGCTCAATGAGGGGTGGGAAAAACTATATTGCCGTCCAAAGCAGCCTTCAGCAGGCTAACACATCCTGCTAGAAATACACATTTAACAAACATGAACACACACACCGACACAGAGAGAAGAATTGTCAAGCTAAAAACTCAATTTATAGAGAAAACTAAAGTAATGTGAGTGTGACCGCTCACACTGAGGTGCACATGCATCACGGTACATAGCCATACTTGCCAACCTTGAGACATCAGAAATCGGGAGCATTTCAAAACCACCGCGGGGTGGATCGCCGGAGCTGTATTAGATTAACATTAACATGCTTATTGTAGTTGTAAGTGCAGTGCCTTGCGGCCTGTAGCACCATCCCTGATGGAGCATATGTGTGGGCAGGACCTGTATTTTTACAGGAAAGGAGTGAGCAGAGGGTAGAGTTGTCCATTCTTGTTCTGTTTACTGTGACTATCTTCCTCACCCTCTTGACTTTCAGTTGCGCGCGCTACTAAAGAGACGCGCTACCATGGAAACCAAACAATGGTGTAGCTCAGGTGTAGCTGTATTAAAGTCCAAGTGGAAACAGTCCTGAGTAAATCTGATTTTGTCAGAAATCGGGAGAAATGCGGGAGAAATATAACCCCGGTAGGAAACCGGGAGAGGGCAATGAAATCGGCAGTCTCCCGCGAAAATCGGGAGGGTTGGCAAGTATGTACATAGCTGTGCTCAATGAGGGATAGGAGAAACTGTATTGAAACTGTAACTTAATTAAGTTTTCATTTAAGAATCTTCAATTTAAACTTAATCTAATCCTGAAAAATGCATGTTTAAAATATATTTTGCCAAAGGGGGAGAAACACTGCATACGCTGGCAGATCTGATCTCACTTAGGTGCCGTTTACACGAAAACAAAACGGACTGGATCCGCATAGTTTCTCTTGCGTATAGCCCTTTCATTTACACAAGGCCGTAACAAAACGATAGAAACGGACCCCACAAACGATAACGGTTCCCAAGGNACACCACACACCTCACACACTGTCATCAGCTCATCTTCTTCCACTTCATCATCGTCACTCCCAGGAATGTTTGCTCACCTTTTGTCTGCTGTGAGCCCCGACCTTTAACCTCCATTCTGTCGATAAGGTGTGATATTGTTTAGTTTTTTTGTGTGTGCTCGGATGAGAGAAAACGTGGAATGTAAAAAATCTACCGCTGCATGAGTCCTTCTGATCTCTCACTCGCTAGCGTACATTTTTTATTTATAAAACACATGCTTTAAAATGTATAAAGATGTTATCAAAGCGCTGAGACCCCGTTTACACGAGAACAAAACGGGTTGGATCCGCATAGTTTCTCTTGCGTATAGCCCTTTCATTTACACAAGGCCGTAACAAAACGATAGAAACGGACCCCACAAACGATAACGGTTCCCAAGGTGGATAGATTTGCAAACGAAACGCTCTGGGGGGTCAAACGAGTCCGTGTAATCGCCTCTATACGATGATTTCCTGAAAAAATAACGATCGCCCCACCTCTCCCCGCCTCTGCTGCTCACTGCTGTAGCATGGCAGCTACTGTCAGTAACGCATACTGTGCATAAACGCAAACGTTCCCGTGTGAGCGGCACCTTAGATAGCCAATGATTCTCATGCTTTATTTTTCAAATGAACAATACAAAACTTAGAATGATTATTCTGAAACACTCAGCTGTAGTTTCTAATTAAGCAGTGTATATCAAATATGCCCAGACACCAAAACCTCAAAATGATCCAGAGCCAATGGACCGGATCCCTACATATTGAGTGAAGGTCATGTATACTTTGGATGAAAACCAAGTGAAACCAGCCAACTAACACAAGGATGAAGTGCTTCTGTCTGCACCTCGTGTACTTAAATGCTGCTGAGTAACCACACGTCAATCACAGAGGAATTGACAAGAGTGTTGAAAAGTACACAGCAGGAGAGAAAGGCAGAAAAACTAAAGTGGCTTAAGTTATTTCACTGAGAAACTGAAAACATCGATGTCCTTTTCGCTGATACATAATCTGATACATACACATAATAAAAGCACTAAAGTAATACATATATAGAGCCAGAAAACCAGAGAATAATAGCACCTAAAGTTCCTAGAGTTAAGGTGTTACGATGTCAGAACTCTTCCAGCTGTCGGGATATTTAGTTTGATTTAAAACTTAAAGCATAATGAATAACAGAGAAATATACTTGTTTAAGCATCGTTTAAACCACCCATTTATAATCAAATGATTTTGTTACTACAATCATATACGCTAAAAGTTATTTGTAAACAGGGTGCTTTTTTGAAGAATGTCCTTTCTTTGTTTAAGTTGCATATGTTGTGTATTAGTCCAGCGTTTAAATTGTATGTTTTGTTTGTTCTCGATATCCTGTCAGTGTTTCCCCTATAGTCATTCAGCAGCGGCGCAGCCTCTGTGAGCGAGCGAGACAGAGAGAGAGCTAGAGAGAGCACACCTTTATCTATTTAATATAGATGTAAAAAATAAAGTAAGAAATCATTCCAATGTGTACTATAACACAGTAAAAGAAAAAAAAGCTTAAAATGATGTGATTAGTAAAATATGCATAAAGAAATAAAGAATGCTAACTAGGTTACATAAGATAAAAATAAACAAGTTTAAATGATTTGTTATTGGTTGTGATCATATTCTTTACATGTTACTTGTTAGATGCTTTTATCCAAAGCGACTTACATACTCAATACTGTGGACAATCCCCACAGGAGCAATTTGGGGTGAAGTGTCTTGCCCGGGGACACAAC